CAATATTACATTTTTTCCTAAAGATCAATAAAGTACCTTTAAAATTATTTGAATTCTGGCTTCCCTTAAAAAAAACCTAAATTAAAATTAACTATTATATATATGACATAAGTTGAATGGGTCTAGGAATTATCGGGGTTGAATCCAATCTATAAATTTAAATTGAGAAATCAGAGCAGTTGTATTGATGCTTTGACACCAGTTTGTTCAGGCAAAACAAATAAATGTGTTACTCAGAAATGTCAGGGGCCATTCGACATCTCCCCCACACCCGACTGAAAAAGCTGTTTCTTCATTGTAATTTCATCATTCTTTGCATTAAAAAAAAATGTCTAGGTTTATTTTGATAATCCACCCAAACCTATAAACCCTAAGACCATTGAGCAGAAGGAAAGGTTGTCTCCAAAAGCTTAGTGTAAGACTGAATATGTAAATACCGTAGCATTCCATATATGTTGATCATCATCATTTCTATTAAATGATGATGGGCATGGGACTCGAAACATTTAATTAATTTAATGAAACATTTAATTCAGGCATGTTATAAAAGCAAGAGTTCTTTCGCCCTTGCTGTAGCTCTCATTTTTAATATAATTTCAGTAAAGGAAGCCATCATGCTGTTAACGGGGCTGTGTGCACCTGTTGGTGTGACTTCTGGGATATACTTTTTATTTTATATTTTCTTCAACAGAACCTGCAGAGGAAACATAACTAATAACATTGTATTCTGAGGCCAAACACACAAAAAATTAAAAAGAGTGCATGAAGGTGAGATTAACATCCTGAGAATTAATTTTGTTTATGGCCCGGGGACTGAACTGGAGCCTCTAGAGATAAATGCCAAAGACATATACTTCATAAATGGTCAACTCTGAGCAACCTTTATGGTACAGCAATTTAAAAACAGAGTGGTTTCTGTCAGACACAGTAATAGAGATATCCTTCCTGCTCACAGCCAATGCTGTAAATAATGACACTTGAAAGAAATTAACATTCAAATTAACATGTTAAAACTGAACCGGATTTAATGACTTGGCAAAGTCTTGGGGGGGCTAATGTATAGCCCCCCAGAAATGCCATACTTGAAAAATAAATCTTCAAAGCATGTGGGCCAGGCTTGGGATTCTAATAATTATTGAAATTAATCCATCTTTTAATGTTCTATTAGAAATGTTTCATTACTAAACACCAATGGTTTGATTTATCTGTGTAACTACATCTGGATCTGAACCTGTGCATTTAATCTGACATAAGTTTTTTTTTAATAACTCACAATGCTTATAATTATTTCATTTGAACTTCCAAAAGGACAATTCTTATAGATATTCTTCAGTTGGATCTCTCTTTAAAAAAAAACATATTTTAAGCAAATACTGAATAAAATATCGATATTCAGGTACTAAAAATGAACAGCCTAAACTTTAGGATTCTTAATGTGTCTTATAATGCTTAAGGCTTTGCTAAGCTGGACAAGACTTAAGAACCGTCAATATTTCACCTTATTTTAATGTAAAAATATATATATATGAATATATTTTAGCAAGTAAACATGAATATCCACTAAGCACTGTTATTTCCAAGAAACCTTTAGCTATGGTTGTGAAACTAAAAAGTAGCGTTGTCCTGAGTGGGTGGTGGAAAGACAACATGTATCATTTATGTTTGTGTGAACAGAACAGATACAATCTGTGATTTCCTCATAGCTGTGTAGACACTCCAGAGGGGAATATTAAACAATGCAGATCAGCCATTCCTCCTTCCTCTTTTCAACCTTTGTGTTCTAAATAGCTTCATAGAGAACAGCATAAAAGGATATACTGACAGCCTTTGGGAGATATTTCCTTTCCAATGTGTGACACAATCATATCTGAGCCAGGAGAGCATGTCAACAAACACTTAAGGCAAGTCAAATAAAGCGAGATGTCAGTCAAGTGCTTCAGTCATAGGCTCACAAAGGAATCCCCAAGGAACTACAGGACTGTGGAAAGTATTGCATTTTGTTATTTCTGCAAGTTAGACAGGAAATCTGACACCAGTGAATCATTACGCCCACCTAGTCCCAATCTGTAATGTCCTGCAATATCCAAATCACTTTTTATTTCTACATGAACCTGTGATAATTTTTTAAAGACGTGAAGCAAAAAGCTAATTACCTATCAACAAGTGTTAACATGCATCTGACACAAAGTAAAACAGATATACTTTTACTGAATCCACACAACATCAGTAGTTGAAAATAAAATACATGTAAATGAACACAGAGAAAAGGGTTAGTAATTATTCATATTTATATTTAGGTATAGTGGAGGATTTTCACAAATTTTTAAAAGATCTGCCCTCCGCTACCACAGTATACATGTCAGATCGAATAATACTACATATACTTCAGCGATAGTATCAAGGTGTTACTTTATTCTATCTCTTATGCTATATCCGTTGGTTGTGCTGTTCTTTTTACATCTCTTTGCAGGAGATGAAGCAGACTGAAGATGTTTTATCATTGCCTCCCATTTATCTCCTCTTTCTTTCATCTTTTCTCCTTTTTCCTGTTTTTCATTTCCTGTTCTACTTAGATTGCAGTGTCCATATAATCTGTAATACTCCCTGCATAATTATAATAAAGCTATTTATATGCATAAATCAAGCCGAACACTATGGCGATAGCTGTACTGGTCCACTTGTGAAAGTAAAATCTGCTGGGCTCTCTCTTTTTGGAATCAAGACAATTATTCTTATTGCCACATCGCCAGACAGGACACTGTTAAAAAAAAAAGAAAGAAAAAGAAAAACTCTGCCCTCTCCACTTACAAAAAATAATGCACATGCACAACCCTGTACCCGCTCCAGAGAAGGAACGCCTATTAAATACATAAGAGAGCGTGCACAAGCCTATTTCTACTATTTTGTGCACATTCTGCTTAAATGTTGATGTTTGCATTGATTACCGTATATACGTTTATTTTTCAAAAGAAGATGTGCAATTTTTCCACTATGTCAGACTCACCACCAGGTAAATGAAATGGGGAAGAGTAGTATCACACCTTTATGTAAACATATCGCCTAAATGATTGACAATTAGGAAGACCACTTATTTTGATGATCCACCTGGAAAAAGAACATCCTCCACTATGCATTTAAGTTTTGTTTTTTTTAACTGGCAAACTTAATTGTTTTTCAAGTGGCTATCACTTTTATGAAAGATGTTATTGAAGATCAATTAATGTTTATTCATATAACCTAGGTAGAGAATGTAATTAAAGTATTTAGTCGTATTTGGTCGAACTTGCACATATTAAGCACATATGAAGTTTTCAAGTTATATGGCACAGCTGAGCCATATAAACTGGGAAGGAGGATCATCTTCCCGCAGGGCAAAGACTCCCCAGCCTCTGCTGCATTAGAATAATCAAGATGAACACATTTTAATTTTAAAGACTGACATAATCAAAGCACATATTTAGATTAAATTATTAAATCTTTGGTGAGACTTGCAATTCGCTCTCTGCATATTCCCTTCCATTGTGGGTGCGCTGCTGCTATTTTGCGAACAAGAGGCACGATTTAAGTCTAAATGTGAAAAACCAATTCAGATCTAACTCAAAAGTCAAAAGACTAGGGACTTAACCTTAGTTAGAGATCGTTCTTTAAAGTATTATCTCTGGAGGGCTTAACATCAAAAATCCTTTTTCTTTGAGAAAAAACGTGGAAAGCATTATTCCTTATAATCATGCATTACATTTATGTTACTCTATCACATTAAATTCCCATCAAATACACTCTTATTTGCATTTGTATTTTACAAAATGTGAAAAAGTCAAAAAGCATAAACACATCTGCAACCTGGTACTAAGTGCAGTATCTAAAATAAGATACCCATGCTGATAGTAACTGAAACACAAACAAGTTCATTTTGATTTTATCTGAATAGTTTTATTCAGGCTTTAAGGACTAAATAGCAAACAGTTCATATAGAATATGTGAATCTTTGAATTACACAACTGAGTGTCAGTATAACAAATAAGCAATGTGTTTTAGCAGTTAAAATTAACAAAGCAGATGTAGTAAAAATGCAGCAGATTTTCTGAGGAACGCTGCTGTGTTTATTTTATCATTTTAGATGTGCTTAAAGCAAATAAGTAAACATTTGCTCCTTTAGAAAACAAGACAAAGGTTAGCTATAACAACAAAACACCTCAGAGCTTTGTTCCTCAGTCACATAAACATTTTAATATATTAACACGTGTGATTATAGTAAAGTAGTCTTTTCACGTATTTACACAAGAAAATTAGCCCTTCTGGCTGGATGAAGGATAATTTTTAATGAGCAAATCTTTTCCATGTATTTGTGTACATTGTGAGAGTTTTTACGTCTTTTTTGTGAACCTTGAAAATGAGCCTAATCAGCTTTAAATTTCAATAGAGTGAGTCTGCATGAAGAGCAAAAAGAACATTAAGCAGACAAATACAAATACAAACAAGCAGTTTGTAAGAGGTAAGATACAGCTTACTTTATCCTAAACAAGATCCATATGTTGCTCATTTTGTCTCTGTGTTCAAGTTTACAAAGTAAATGCTTCAGTGAGTATCCATCTGTCTCTACAGTGACCGCTATTCTTTCAGAGGAGAGACAGGACTGAAAGGGAAAAGCATTGCCTGTACTGCCACTCCTCCACACACCATCAAGTCCAGCTTGATCATAAGATTTGTTCTGATGGCTTGGTTCATCTCACACATATTTAATTTAAGTACAGAGAGGTGACTTTTGTTCCTTGGTTGAGATACATGTCATTGAAACAGTTTTGCTACTTATACAGTAAGCAAAGAGCCCCTTTGTCCCATTGGTCCTCATATTGAGAGTGATGTAACAGTAAGGTCAAGAAACAATCGGTAAAGAAACAGAGAAAAAAACAAACTATTATCACAACCGTATCATGAAGATTGTCAAGGCCTTTATATTATATTCAGTTATAATGTTATGAATTTAGATCTGAGTTAATCTGTAAACCCTTCTTCTGCTAATAAGTATATTTAAAGGCAGTCACTGTGGCAGGCATGCATCACAGGGACTGGAAAGGGTCATATTTAAATGAAGAGACCAAACCATTAGAGGGAATAAGCTGAGGCCCAAGTCAGAGTCCAAAAGCAGTTGGAGGCAAAGATGCCTCATTCATCACTTTTTCCACCCATTTTATGTCTTTTTCTAAAAATGTATCTAAATTTGTAACTTGTTGCTGTCATTTCCTTTCTAATACAATCCTTTGAAGACAGTGAGCGCAAGCACCACATGCTTCATCAGTCAAGCAACCCCGTAAATTTGACTTTACGTCTATCTACTATAATCCTGGTCATGCAGGGATCCCTTAAAAAGATCGTTTCCATGACTTACAGAGAATTTTCTGGAAGGCTCTGCGAAAGTCCTGATTGAAGATGGTGTAGATGACTGGGTTCAGGGAGCTGTTACAGTAGCCAATCCAGAAAAAGAACTTGAACATGGTCTCTGGGATCTTGCATGGATCACGGCAGATTCCATATAAGCTGTAAGAGAAAAAGAATGGGAACCAACACAACACAAAAACTCCCATTACCACAGCCAGGACAAATGTGAAGCGTTTCTCCCGTGCAGCAGAGACTTTCTTCCGATTTACAGTGCTCCGGCGTTTGCGACGGGAGGAGAACAGTTCCAAGGACTTTGAGCTAGAGCGTGACTTCCTGCTGGAGTATTTGGAAGCAGAGCTGCTCTTCCTGCTGGACTTTCTGTCCTTTCTGTCATTCTGGTATTGTTTGGAAGAACCAATGCACTTTTTTTGTTTCTCATCTGATGAGCTGCTATCTTCAAAATCATCATCTTGGTTATTTGATGGATGTTTCGGGTCATTTGATTTAGGAGATCGAGCTGTTCGCTCCTGGCAATGCCCATTCTCAGGTTCTTGCTCTTTCATGCTCCCACCCTGAGTGGACATAATGGACCCTCCCATGCCTGGCTCGGTTTGGTCAATCCCATTTTCATGAGGGGAATCCATGCCCCTCTTTTTCTCCGACAGCGTCCTGGTCCTTGTTTTCGCCACTTGATAGATTCGAATGTAGACCAAGATCATTATAACACAAGGAGCAAAGAAGGATCCAATGCTAGAGTAGAGAATGTACCAGGTCACGTCATTCAGCTGACATGTGGGTCTCTCATGACTGCTGCTCCTGTCCATTGAAATCAATGGAGGGAATGAAATTACAGCTGAGATCAGCCACACCACCACAATCATGCCTTTAACTCGTTTAGGGGTCCTCTTTAAGTTGTACTCTACTGCCTGTGTCACCGACCAGTATCTGTCCAAACTGATAGCACAAAGATGAACAATTGACGAGGTGCAAAATAAAACATCCAGAGCAAGGTAAATATCACACCAAATTTTGCCAAAAAACCAGTAGCCCATGAGTTCATTTGCCAGAGAAAAGGGCATGACCAGAGTGGCAACCAGTATGTCCGCACTGGCTAAGGAGACCAAGAAGAGGTTCTGGGGTGGTTTGAGAGCCCTGCTAGTTAAAACTGCAATAACAACTAGGACATTTCCTACTATTGTAAACAAAATGAGAAAGCTTACAAGACCAGCCAGACCCCATATTGCCAGCTGGGTGTACTCTTGGCTTTCAGATGTTAAATTAGATGAGATATTTCCCACCTCTGTCCCATTTTCCAGGCTGGAAAAATTAATAAAATCCATTCTTTGCTCAGTGTATGACTTTAAAAAAATACTAATGTTCCAGAAAAAGCCTTATTAAGACTTGAGCGCATATTTTGCTGCATAATAAATCTGCCTACATCAGATGGCTTTCTCCTCTCATCCACATAGAATCGTCCACATTCTGCGCACAAGTCTTTCCTTTAGAAAAAAAAGGAGAAGGGTGAAAAAAAAGCCCAAATATAAAAATATTTTTAAAAGTCTTAATCCCAAAAGGTGCGCACAGCTCAGCGGTCACATTCCCATGAATAAAAAGCGACAGCTTCCTCGCAGCGTCTTCTACCATCCCGACTGCGCCCGTATCTCTCCACCTCCACCTCCACACTGCGTCCTGAGAGAGATTTGTAACCACCACGTGTCCTGTGCAAAAAAAAAAAAAAAGATACCTGTTCCGCACGAAAGAATAAAGAGAAAGGGAATGACATGGTGTTACATTTTAAATATATTTAAATGTCGTAACTTTTGTACGAAAAATACCTAATTCAATGTACCAATGCGTAAGCAGTGTCTGCATGTATTGACAGCTGGTCAGAAATATATATCACTCTTTTTTTTATCTTTCTCATTCTTTCAGTATAAACCGTGAAACTTCATTTGCAAAGACGGAGAGAGAAGAGAGGAAATGTGGACAGAGACAGGGTTTATATTGCTGTCAGAGCGCAAATCGGCTGTCATGAAGTCCCACACCAAGGACAAGGCGTTCTCCTTTTATTGCCCAAACTGGAGATCACTTTATACCAAACAGACGGGCTTTACTGAGATACCCCCCTCCCAGATTCGCTCTTAGTTGTTTACGTTTTGCTTTAGAAATTACTAACCTATGCTGTATAATTTTGTATACTCATTTTAAATCTTCTATTTGGCCTTTAAGAGGTTGCTCAGTTTTTTATACTTACATGATTTTGCTAATTAGATTTTTTTCTGGTTAGAATTTAATGTTCCACACAGTTCAAAAGTTTTTTGTCATTTTAGTTAGTTTTAAGATATATTTACCCAAGTCCCATTTTTAATGACAGATATTCTTTGCATGTTCTCCCTTAACATGCGTGGGTTCTCTCTGGGTACTCCAGCTTCTTCCCACAGTCCAAAAACATAAATGTTAGGTTAATTGGCTTCTCTAAATTCTCCTTAGGTGTGAGTGTGTGTGTGTGAATTGTTTTTTGTCTTGTTTGTCTCTGTGTTGCCCTGCGATGGACTGGCAACCTGTCCAGAGTATACCCTGCCTCTCGTCCATTGACAGCTGGAGATAGGCACCCCAACCCCTCACAACCCCTCTCATGGAAAATGGATGGATGGATATTCTTAAAGAGGACAGGCTTTAAATATGGAGCCTGCAAAAACATAGTGCTGAGGGAGGAGGGAAATATAGGAACAACACCTGTGATGGTTCCATGGAACTTACAGTCCTATAGAATTGAAAAAAATACAATTCTTCTCTCATTTTTGTTTTCCCTATTTTTGAGGCAATAGGGATCCCCTCAAGATATTCTGAAAATCATTCACTGTGGGTGGATGTGTGTTTAATATTCCCTTTTCTTACACTTTTTAGTAAATGCACAAATTCAAAAAAGATCTGCATTGTAAACAATCTATAGATGCACCACTTAAAATCCTATAGTTTATTGCTGCAATGAGGTCTGTTGCCTTTAAATATCTGCAGGATATGCCTGAACAGAGACATCTAGGTTATCTCATTTCTCTTTTGTGTGGATTGCACTTTCCTCAAGGACATGCATGTGGACGCATGCTTTTCACCCTTCATGTTTTCAGTGCACTCTCTGGCCTTTTCTACTTTATTCTCACATTCTGTTGGACTCTCCTGTGTTTCCCTGAAGAAAAAAAAACATTTGGAAGCTTTTCAAATGCTTGATTTTGCAGTTCTCAAGCAAGGTTATTGAAATTGAATACAAGCTCAAAATGGTTCTGAATGCTTTTTGTTCTGCCCTCCACCTGGGTTCGACTGCTGCTATTAACCCTGTTCCCTCTAGGTGGTGTCCTCTCTCAATTAAGAAGGCTGTCTCACCTATAGTGTTGATCTGGTATTTGCTATAGGAGTTTGCTTATTGAACACATCTTCCGCCTCACCATCTCACACAGAGAGCAGCCACAGTCAAAACAAGTGATAAAGTCTAAATAGGTCTGCATCGATACTGGTAGATGGAATTGGAACGGGCTAAGGAGAGGATCATATAAACTACCACCCTCAAAACAAACTGTTTTTGCCCATCATGGCTCTTTCAAGTAAAAAGAGAGACCTTTGCTACAGGTCAGTTTGGATGCACATCAGGTTTTTTTGAAACGCCATTCAATTTGTGATTTGGTCATTAAGTTGTATCCCAGGGCCACAACTCCTATAAAAACAACATATATAATTGGGCATCACTGAACCATCTCAGCTTTTTCAGAGCCCATTTCTTGTTTTTCAGCACAGCAGCTCTCCTCAGAGGGAGTAAGTGAGCCTTTCTGCTGCTAGCCAGACATCTGCTATTGACGTTAAAGAAGCTTTACCAATTACTTTCATCTCTTTATATCATTGCTTTTTTCCCCTAAAAAAAAAAACATTTTCTTTTGTGCTGTTTTCTTTGGTGCCACTCTTCTTAGCAACAGAGTGTTGTCCCATTTTTTTTCGATCGTAAGGGTGGAACAACTGTTTTTTTTTTTTTTTTAAGTACTACAATTCAGACAAAAAGAGACGTTTCCAAAAGGTGGAATATCTGATCACAGAAATTTGTAAAGCAGGGCATTTCAAAGTGCCATGCTTCACAGATTTCCTGCCCCCCACTTAGAAGCGCCAAAGCTTCTAAGTGGAAAAACACTCAAATAACACATCCTAGATATGAATGAATTAGATAGGCTACTCTCATTGAATACGTTGTTCTGTAGAAAGTGGAATGTGTGGACAACAAAATCACACAAACTGCATCAATGAAAATCTAGCTTATTAAACAATGGAGATGTGGTTTTAGAATCATACACAAAATTAAAGTAGAAACACACTACAGGCTGATCCAACTTTGATGTAATGTCCTTAACACAGATCAAAATGAGGCTCAGTATTGTGTGGCCTCCATGTGCCAGTATGACCTCTGTACAATGCTTGAGCATGCTCCTGATAAGGTGATGGATGGTCCCCTGAGGGGTTTCTTCTTCTAGACCTGGACTAAAGCATCCCACAATTCCTTGACAGTCTGTGGTGTAATATGACATTGGTGGATGGATCAAGATATTATGTCCCAGATGTGCTTAATCAGATTCAGGTCTTGGGAATGGCGATGAATAGCTTCAATGCTATTGAAGTACTGAAGCTGAATGTTAACAGGGTTAAACAAAGTAACACTTCTGTACCGGCTAGGCTTTATTGCTTGCTGCTCAAACCTGGCTCTCCCTGGTGGTGTCTTAGTCTTAGTGAACCTCAGACTTTTCTTAATATTAAAAACAAAATATAGCTTCCTTTGAAATAGCTTCATACACCCATGTGTTTTCTCAAGTTGTGCAATTTTACCAGACAATTATAACTATATTAAATAACTAGAAATGGAAGTTATAGGTAATTAATATTCCAAAAAAGTATTAAAAAAAAATAAAAAAAAGTCCACTGGACTTTGTTTCCAAGTTTGAAGACATTTTGCTTCCCATCCAGGAAGAGTTTTCCATTAAAAATTTTAGAATTAGCATTGAGTTTGAGGCTTTATGGAGTGGACCAAAACATTTTATTATTTTCCCTTGGAAAACATGCTAATTGAACCAGAAGAATGGGTCTGCCCCTTAGAATGAGGAGTTGTTTGGGTTCTTTGTTAGCCTGCAATACCCTATACTGGTCTATGCCTCTGAAATGGGGCCATTAGGGGGAATTGTTGGCCTGGCTGTACAGGCAAGATGTTTTGGAGGTAGGTAATTAATAGATAGTTAATATGTAATTCAAAGTCAGGGCTTAGACCAATAAATCATTTTTAGTTGAATGATTATAACTAATTTGTGGATCCTGTGTGATATATCCAGGGGCGTGCATACATAGACACTAGGTGGTGCTAAAGCACTAGGAAGTTTGCCCTTTATCAAAGAAAATGCCCTTTTGACCCTCTCTCACTTCCTTTGTCACGTGACCTCGCGCGGTCGCCCGCAGGGCATGCCAGATGCGCAGCATCATAGCAGTTCAGTAGCATCTTCAGATAGCAGCAACGGTCGCTGACAGGCTGCTTCTCCCGTGCCCCATTAGCCAGGTAATATACAGATCAAGCAAAATCATTTTGTTGTGCATTAAAATGTCTCATTCAGCAGCACCAAACACGCATTTTGCCGACTGGTCACCTGATAAACTAGTTGTCTCCTTGTAAGATGCTATTTTACTTTTTATATTTTATATCCATATTTTTATCTTAAGTGTATATATTAGTCTATTTTATTGCATGCTATATACCCACAGTTTTTAGATATTTTTATAATTTTATTTACATATTCCATATTACCGTATATGTTTCATGTTGCACGATTGTACCACAAAAAATTCCTAGTTTGTGAACTCCTTCACTAACAATGGCAATAAACCTGATTCTGATTCTGAAAGTTTTACACTGTAGCCCAAGTCAATGACAGATAACATGAGGACGACCACATAGGCTACAAATAATTTTGGTAGAGTTTGCAATTGCAAATACGGAAGAGGATTAGGGCCACTGAAAAAAAAAGAATTAACTGATTTTTAAATTTTATTTCAGTTTAGTATGGGAAAAAAGTCAGAATGCTGACTTTAATCTCAGAATTCTGTTGTATAGGTTTTGTTAGGCAACATAAATTAACACATTTTGGTCTCTTTATTGTCTTAATTGTATATTGATTAAGTAATTGCAGTACAATGCCAAGAAAGGAGGGTTAATCGTTTTGAAAAATCTTAAAAGCTGTTCACATTTTATTTTTAAGTGGTTTGTGAAGCAGGTATTAAAATAGATATTATTTTGTAGGCTACCATAAGTCATATCCACGTGACAAGACTTCCAGTCATGTTGCCCTAATAGCCCATTATTTAAACTAATGTGGCATATTTGTTAAAGCTATTATTATTATTATTATTATTATTATTATTATTATGATTATTGTCATGATGGTTATTATTATTATATTGTAGCCAGTCACAGCAGGGAAGCTCTATACCATCAACATCTACCAGGACAGGAGATGAGGAAGAGATCAGGGAAGACACAGAGACAGAAAAAGACCAGGATGAGGGAGAACAGCAGGATGAGGGAAAACGGGGAGATGAGCCAGATGAAAGAAAAAGAAAGATAAGCTTTAGTCTGTTCTGTTGGTGGTGTGACTTTTTTTCATTGAAAACTCACGTTTAGAG